CCGACGACCAGCGAAGTCGGCCGACCACTACCAAAAGATCAAAATCAAAGAATCCCCGGCAACCAACAAGCTGGATGAACACCAACAAAATCCCCGGCACAGACCGGACGACCATCCCCAGAAAAAGACAAACAAAAGACAAGAAAGCACCTCTCAACGCCTTCTTTTTCTTCCTTTTCCAATGTTTTCGGATAAAACATTGGTGGCGACTCCAGAACCCCTTTTCGAAAACCTCGCCTTTAGGTCCAACCCGGTTATCAAACAACCTAAAGGCGTTGTAACATCACTTTTAAAAAACGCGAGTCGAAGCAAAACCATCGCGTCGCTCTGATCTCCTCTTTTTACGGCAACGACAGTTATCACAGATGATGAGTTCAGAATTACATAGAAACGCCCTGATGAAGGTCTTGGACGAAGTGCATGTACCTCATACAATATCCCAAGAAAAATTTGAGAGGATTGTCAGCTACATCACAGCCAGCGATCACCTCACCTTCACAGATGTAAAACTCCCTCCTGAAGGGTCAAGCCATAACAAGCCCTTGCATATCTCTATCAAATACAAGGAGTATCGCATTGCCAAAGTTCTTGTGGATAACGGGTCATCCTTGAATATGATGCCCAAGTGCACACTCGACAAGTTGACCATTCAAGGAACCCGAATGCGCCCAAGAAGCACTATTGTTGGAGCCTTCGACGGATCCAAATGAGAAGTAGTGGGGGAAATCAATCTGCCAATCCAAATTGGCCCCACTATCTTCAACGTCGATTTCCACGTGGTGGATATTACTTCAGCATACAACTGTCTCCTTTGCGGAGCTTGGATTCACGACGCTAAGGCAGTACCTTCAAAGCTCCACCAAAAATTCAAGTTTATAGTAGACGACAAACTGATCATGGTCCAAGCTGAAGATGACATCTTGATCAGTGGACCGTCTACCCAACCCTATGTGGATGCAGCTAAAGAGGCCCTTGAAACATCCTTTCAAGCGCTAGAAATCGCCAGCGTAGAGAGACTTCCCGGTAACACGAAAGTAGCCCGCATGATGATGAAGTATGGTTACCATCCTGGGCAAGGGCTCGGTGTAGACTCCCAAGGAATAAAGGAGCCCCCGGAATTTAAGGACAATCTCCTAAAGCATGGCCTAGGATACGACCCTACAAAGGGTCGAGCTATGAAAAGAAAAGGGAAGTCTCCCCTCCGCACATTAAAGCAGATCTTCCGAAGTGGAGGGATACAAGCGTCGAGAGCAACTCTAGTCATTAGGAGTTCTTTTTCCTTTCTTAAGGGATGTAAACCTAATGATTGTTAGAGATTATCCCCCGGGGCTAGCCCGACCCCCGGGAATTTTAAGGGCACATATTGCCGTCTTAATTATTAAGAATACAATTCTTACTATCTGCTTCTCTTCTTGCTATCCATGTCTAAACCTCATAATAACCATGTTTAAGCAAACATTTTTAAAAGTGCGTCAAAATAAGCAAAATGCGCCATCACCAAAAATAATCAAACTGATTGACTAGAAACACACAATAAGGTTTTCCTCATTATATTAAAACTGTGTTCTGCTAATATTGTGTAAAAAGAAAAAAACGTAAATAAAAAATAAGCCCATAGAAGCCAAAGGCCAAAAAAAAAGGGGGGCAAATTACCCAGTAGGAAACTCACTCAAGGGGGCTACGCAAAAATTAGGGTTGAACCGCTAGGAAACCCAAACAATAATAAAGGGCAACCTAGGTAGAAGTTAGGGTTACAAAATAAGGTCTGCTAGGATTCCCAAAACAAGAAAAAAGGAAATCTAGACAAAAGTCAGGACCAAAACACAATATCCTAGTCTAAAAACCCAAAGGATAGTCTGGGAAAGTCAATCAGCCGTAAGAAAGCAATAGAAATTGGCTATGACGTAGATCCTCAAAACAAAACGTTTGTTTAACATTAGCTTAAACACTTTTGTAAGAAATATAGGCTGAGATCAAGAGGGGGGGTGAATTGATCTTTAAAAGATTTTTGAAAATTACAGATTATCTATAAAAAAATTAAGATTTCAAATCTGTTCTTGAATCACACAGCAAACAATCAAAAATAAATGCAATAACAGAATTAAAAAAGAAAAAGGTTTAGAAAGATATCACCAAGGTTTATACTGGTTCACCCAATCCCAGGGCTACGTCCAGTCTCCAGCCAAATTTCAGCTGGGTTCCACTAGATTGAATGTTTTACAGATTACAACCTTAACCTTACAGTCAATCTACCACAAGAACCACAATTCCAGTTCCTGCACCTAACCTTTCACCAAGAACCAAATTCTAGTTCTTGACAACCTCTACAACCAAATTCCAGCTGCAGAGAAACCAATGGCGACAATTCCAGGCACCAAAAAATACACTAAAGAATGTAAAGAAACGAAAAGAAGAAACTAGAATGCTCAAACCAGTTTTATGCAATTCTGCAGTATGTGTTTCTTCTTCAAAAGAATGCAAATTTGCCTCAAGAAAGAATTCTTATGAACTTCACAGAAAACAACGCAATTCTCTCTTGAAAGTAGTGCTTGATTGATTGCTAAAAGATGTATTTCAGATTTGTAAACGATGTATTAAAAAGGTTCAAGCAACTCTGTTTATATAGAAGATTTTTAAAAATGCTGGTTTAATTAATTTGTTAAAATAATCTTTTAATCTGTTAAAAGTCTTGTTTTAATCTGTTAAAACTTCTTTTAATCCATTAAAACGTTCTTGATTATTTTCCAGATTTGTTTTAACTGATACGATAACGTTTATATCAATTAAAACTCTTTACAAAAAATCTTCTAATTTGTTTTAATCGATTGTTTCGTGTTTCAATCAATTAAAATACTACAAAACTTCTTTGTAAACTTTTCCAAGTGATTTTAACTGATAAAAATATGTTTTAATCGATTAAAACGCTATGTAGAAATTCTCTTAAGTTGTTTTAATCGATTGAAACGTGATTTAATCGATTAAAATAATTCTGATCGGTCATACTGTACTCCAAGTGGTTTTAATCGATTGTTTTAAAGTTATATCGATTAAAATACTGCCAGAACACTTCCTTGAACATTTTAAGTGTTTTTAATCGATTATTTCGAAGCTGTATCAGTTAAAATACTTACAGAAGGTTTTCAAAACTTCCTTTAATGAAAACAATTGGTTATTTCGAAATTATATCAGTTAAAACCTTGTTATAAAAGTGTTAAGAACATTTTAGTTGATAAAGCTTATATGCTATTAGTTAAAAATAGTTAATTCAAAAGCTTTTATCAAAATACTTTGTTTTTAATTGTTTAAACGCTTTTAGAGGCATTTGCAAAATCTTTTAAATGAAGAAACCTCATGCAGCAGAAAAGATAAAAATGATTATACCTAAGCAGAGCTGCAGACACACTAATCCCTCTACTCTTTTATCTAAGTGACTTTTGACTGCTACAAAGTTGCCTTTGACTTCATTCTTGACTTCATCAAATCAACAAGATCTTTGCCAAAGTATTTCAACAAGATCTTCATCACTTTCAGTCTCCCCCTATTTGATGAAGACAAACACCACTTTGAATAATAACTCTGCAAAAGAAGTCACTTGATAATATAGATTAGTGAGTAATAAAAAATTAATCATTTTCCTATTTCTCCCCCTAAATTGTTGCTCCCCCTAAATAAAGAATTATTTCTCCCTCTAAATTGATCAAAAGTAAAGCAACTATTTCTCCCCCTTTTGACTTCATCAAAAATAGGGAACAGAGGAACAAAACAATGCATGGTATGTATCATGTTTTTAGAGTAAAAAAAAAAATGTGGATACAATAATTTACTCATGTAAAAACCAATCAAAGTTGATTCAATCTTATCTTCATTAACACGTTTGTAATGAATACAATTAACACGTGTAAAGATAAGGGAACCACGCTTTAGTAGCATGTTACAAGAACAGTCATTAACTAAAGCCTTTAATTTTTCTTTCCAGAATAAAAATCGATTAAAAAGCAGAACAAAATCGATTAAAAAGTTCTTGTTAATGGTTTTAATCGATTGAAATAATGGTTTAATCGATTAAAATAGTGAAGAAATTCGAAAGTTTGAAACATAAGTTCATTTAATCGATTAAAACGATAAAAAAAATGATATATAAATTCTTTTAATCGATTTAAAGTTTGTTTGTATCGATTAAAACAACCAGTTTTGAAAACTAAGTAATGTTTGATGTATTTATCATGCCTAATCCGAGTGTAAATTTTGTAAAACCGATCATTTAGAAAAATGTTTTACAATAATATCAACTACATCGATTAAATTTTAACCAACAGATCCATCAAAATTAGAATAAAATCTTATTTAGCTAATTTAACTGATGTAAACTAGTTTATATAGATTTTAATTGATTGATAAGGAGTTTAATCGATTATTTTGTTGTGAAAGTGTTTCCTTTAATCGATTAAATCCATTTTGTATCAGCTAAAAATATCAGGGATCTATGTTAAATTCTATCTAGGCTAGCTTGATTCGATTTAAAACCTACATTATATTAATCAAAGCTAAAAAGATTGTACCTGGTATACAACCAGTTAATATTACAGATCATAAATTGAAATTAGCATCAAAAGAAATAAGACATAAAAGAAAGATAAGAAGGGACCCTTTTTATCCACAAATTCAATCATCCCAGTTTCCTTGGTTGAGCTGCATATCTTCCAGTTTGGTGTAGATATCAGCGATCTGGTTTCCAAGGGATGTGAACTGATTGTTTGTCTGCTGGAAATGTTGATATGTCATCTGCATATGCTTTCTCTGGTTTTCCTGCATTGTGGCCATTTGAGTAAGCATGGTCCTTTCAAATTGAGACAGAGGAGTCCTACGCTCAGGTTGTTCCACGTAGGGAATGATCTCCATATTTTCATATGAAGCTTGACCACTGGTTCCTATCAGGCTTACAACCTGCAAAATCTGAGTCAGAGTATCCAATTAAATTTAGTTTGAACTCACCAGGATACCATAACCCAATCAGTAATTGAACCATTTGCATTGGATTCCTCTACTGAATTTCTATCATCCAATGAAGAACCTACATTTTGTAAATCAGCATTTCCAGCCTGCTGAGCAAACTGGTGTAATTCCAAACAATTTGTTAAGACACTCTCTGTCTTTATACAAGATACAACATCTTCTGAAACAGTGTGCAAATGATTATCTTCTTGACTTCTAATCACTATGGTTTCCTTAGTCCAACAATTTTTTTCATCCTTTCTTTGAGTTTCCAACAGGAGCCCAGAAGTACCATCACCAACCTTAGTGACATAACTACCAGTAGAAATAACATCTGTTGAAGCATCCAGTGGACTAACATAATCAGTAGTCCAAGCATTTTTATCAATTCCCCATTATCTTTATAGTAGTCTGTCCCTTCACCTGGGCCTAAATGAAATTGAGGATTTTTTTTTAATTTTAACACCACCATCTTTTTTTACTAAACTTAGAATTATCAGTAGTTTCATTTGACTTTATTCCTTTATCACTACCTTCATCATCCACCTCTTTTACAAAATAAGCCTCCCCCGAATTGTCAAGATACATGTGGGAGTGTGCTTCAACCCCATTGACGTTTATCCGAACCACCTTTTCAGCACCTTTGAGCATACCTTGAAACTTTCTGAAGCGAACATACCACGGTGTGCACCGAAACTTGCCATCTGGCTGCTGAACAACAATGACATCAACTGCCCTACCAAAGGAATGAAAAGGAGTAGCAACTAAATAAACACCTTGGGTTATCAAGCTTCCAACTTTGCCCACCACATTCATTCTTATCAGTAACCAATGACCAAATCTCTAGAATTTTGGGAGGGCCAAAACTTAGACCTCAAATTGCTTAAGACTGATCCTATTTTTAATCACAATAGGTTGATATAGAATTGAAATAATCAATTAATTCTGTACTGGAAGTAGAATGTGAGTCGATTAATTTTGTACTGGAAAAATTTTAAAAATTGATAACAGAATTTTAATCGATTAACACGAAGAAGAATCGATTAAATTTGACACTTTAGTGATTTTAGTTGATATAAATCCTTTTTAATCGATTAAAACAGCTAAACTAAATTCCTGAGAACATTTTAATCGATTAATTCGTATTTCAATCGATTAAAATTGTACGGACAACTTTTCTGGTATTCTATGTAAGTGATTTTAATCGATTAAAACTATTTTATATCAATTAAAACATTCAGTTTATGAAACCAGAACCGAATTTGTTGTTTTGAACACCAACGGACTTCCAGATATTGTTCCTGCAAAACAGATTTAGCATATTTCTGGTACCCTTTATAATTACTGGGTCCAATCAGGTTATTTGAAATGAATTATTTTTGGGAATCCACTTCATTCTACCTCTAGGAATAACATACTTCTTAATTCTACAATATTTCACTGAATGACCTCTTTTCATGCAGTAAAAACATTTAATCACAGACTATGATTTCCTATTTACATTTGTTTTTCTGAATTTCATCCTAGATTTAAATCCTATGCCAGATTTGTCAAAAATCAGTTTTTGTGACCCAAGTAGAACGTCAAGATTAGCTTGACCTTGTGTAAACTTTGAAACAGTTTGTGATAAAAAATCAATCTTCTTTTGTAATTCTGAACAATTATTACAGGGTTTATTACATACACAATCAGAATTATCATGGATTAATTTTAAAAAATCAAGATCAGTTTCATCTTCAAGAATTTTCTTTTCAAGAGATTCTACTTTATTTACTAACCAATTATTCAATCCTTTTAGCCTATCATTTTCTTTTTGCAGTTTCTTAGCTTCTTCATGCATTTCATTAAATGCTTCTTGTAATGAATTATAATTCACAATGGTTGTTGAGTCAGAACTTACACTTGTTATTGGCGAATCCGAGTTGATCATTAAGCATATCTCTGTTGTTTCTTCATAGGTCATTTCAAGGATCTTCCACATTTCTGTAGCAGTTTGACAATGTGTTATCCTGAAAAAATCGTTTCTGTTAAGTGCAGATATGATGATATTTTTTGCAATACAATCATCTTGGATTAATTTCTTTTCACAGTCATTTAAGCTACACCAATCTTTGTTAAAAATATCAGTTTCTTATTCAATGATATTCCAAACATTTATACTAACAGATTCAATAAAGATCTTCATCCTAATCTTCCAAAATGGATAATTTGTTCCACAAAACAGTGGAGGTCTATCAATACAAGCACCCTCAGAAAATTTGTTTCCAGCCATTAAAGATTTGAATCGACTTGAATAACTCTCAAGAACCTTGCTCTTGATACCAATTGTGAGAAATATAGGCTGAGATCAAGAGGGCGGTGAATTGATCTTTGAAAGATTTTCAAAAATTACAAATTATCTCTATAAAAAAATTTAAGATTTCAGATCTGTTCTTGAATCACACAGCAAGCAATAAAAAATAAATGCAATAACAGAATTAAAAAAGAGAAAGGTTTAGAAAGATATCACCAAGGTTTATACTGGTTCACCCAATCCCAGGGCTACGTCCAGTCTCCAGCCAAATTCTAGCTGGGTTCCACTAGATTGAATGTTTCATGATTACTAACCTTAACCTTACACTCAATCTACCACAAGAACCACAATTCCAATTCTTTCACCTAACCTTTCACCAAGAACCAAATTCCAGTTCTTGACAACCTCTACAACCAAATTCCAGCTGCAGAGAAACGAGTGCCCACAATTCCAGGCACCAAAAAATACAGTAAAGAATGTAAAGAAACGAAAAGAAGAAACTAGAATGCTCAAACCAGTTTTATGCAATTCTGCAGTATGTGTTTCTTCTTCAAAAGAATGCAATTTTGCCTCAAGAAAGAATTCTTATGAACTTCACGAGAAAATAGCGCAATTCTCTCTTGAAAGTAGTGCTTGATTGATTGCTAAAAGATGTATTTCAAATTTGTAAACGGTGTATTAAAAAGGTTCAAGCAACTCGTTTATATAGAAGATTTTCAAAGCTAGCTGGTTTAATTAATCTGTTAAAATAATCTTTTAATCTGTTAAATGTCTTGTTTTAATCTGTTAAAACTTCTTTTAATCCATTAAAACGTTCTTGATTATTTTCCAGATTTGTTTTAACTGATGCGATAACATTTATATCAATTAAAACTCTTTACAAAAAATCTTCTAATTTGTTTTAATCGATTGTTTCGTGTTTCAATCGATTAAAATACTGCAAAACTTCTTTGTAAACTTTTCCAAGTGATTTTAACTGATAAAAATATGTTTTAATCGATTAAAACGCTGTGTAGAAATTCTCTTAAGTTGTTTTAATCGATTGAAACGTGATTTAATCGATTAAAATAATTCTGATCGGTCATAAATCAATTCTGATCGATCATATCTGATTCTGATCGGTCATAAACGCATTCTGATCGGTCATACTGTACTCCAAGTGGTTTTAATCGATTATTTTAAAGTTATATCGATTAAAATACTGCCAGAACACTTCCCTGAACATTTTAAGTGTTTTTAATCGATTATTTCGAAGCTGTATCAGTTAAAATACATACAGAAGGTTTTCAAAACTTCCTTTAATGAAAACAATTGGTTATTTCGAAATTATATCAGTTAAAACCTTGTTATAAAAGTGTTAAGAACATTTTAGTTGATAAAGCTTATATGCTATTAGTTAAAAATAGTTAATTCAAAAGCTTTTATCAAAATACTTTGTTTTTAATTGTTTAAACGCTTTTAGAGGCATTTTCAAAATCTTTTAAATGAAGAAACCTCATGCAGCAGAAAAGATAAAAATGATTATACCTAAGCAGAGCTGCAGACACAGTAATCCCTCTACTCTTTTATCTAAGTGACTTTTGACTGCTACAAAGTTGCCTTTGAATTTATTCTTGACTTCATCAAATCAACAACATCTTTGCCAAAGTATTTCAACAAGATCTTCATCACTTTCAACTTTGACCAACCCTGGCCAGCCATTCTTACAAAATCCCCCTTTGAATAAAAGTAAAAAAATATAACCGTCTAAAACACAAGCCCTTGAATAAATTATCCTCTTACTTTTCTTCTCTTGACCCTTATCAAAATATTCTGATAATTAGTGGGGGAATATGAAGGCATATAATCAACAAGAAGATTGAAACCTCTAGAGGAAGGAAAAATTACACCAACATGGCAAGTTCGTTTCTTAGTCAACAATTATTCTTCGGTCATAGTAAGTCCGGAATGGTATAAACAAGTACAGCTAAAGAACGACATCAGAAGAGCCTCGTCTTCAAAAGACACATCAGTTAATCCTTATGAAAAGTTAACTAAATAGTAGTATAGGACACATAACATGAAAACATTGCATGCATAGATGTTTGTGAATAGGGTCCTATATTTTTCAAAAAAAAAAAAAAACTTTAGAAAAGCCCAGACGGCCGTCTCGCCATTCACCAGTGTCAAGACCGCCCTCTCATCATTCCCTGAAATTGTGACCACCGTCTTGCCATTCACCAGTGGCGAGACCTCCGTCTCTTCATTCGCTGAAATCGAGACCGCCGTCTCGCCATTCGCCAAAGGCGAGATCGCCGTCTCATTTGGTGAGACGACCGTCTCGCCATGTCACGATGAGTGAGACTGCCGTCTCGACATTCCAGACGGCGGTCCCGAACCTTGAAAATTTGAGATGATTGTCCCGAATCCCAGACGGCGATCTCGACCTTGAAAAAAACTTCTATATATAGGCCTTTTGGGTCAGTTTCAAAGCATCTCATTCCTGCATCCTCTCATACATCTTCATACATACTTGAATGTCTTTGAGAAAAATGCAACAAGGTGAGTCCTCCAGGACTCGGAAGAGAGGTCGGGGATCTAGCTAGAGTACCCCGACACCATAGGCCCTGCTAGATTCGACTCCGCTCATGCTGCAACACCAGGCCAGGCTAGATCATATTAGGAGCTACTCCTGGCACCCTCTGTTGTGCTTGGATTTCAACATCCTGACTGAGTTTGGTTGGGACGAGGATGTATGAGGTTACATCCACAGCATTGGGTGGTACCTCCTCCTCCAGGACCCTCCTACTCGCATCTACTGCGAGGCCATGATGGAGTTCCTCACCTCCGTCATGATGGTGGATATGTCGGCGCTATTCCTGAGTGTCTGTTCGGCGAGAATGGTCTCGTACTACATGAACGAGACCTATGGGACGATGATGTTGGATAAGTTCAACGTCACCATGGGCTTCAACCAGCCCACGGACACCCTGACGTCAGAGTACCAAGGAGCCATTTGTGAGTGGCCAGCTGCCCTCTCAACCGGTGAGATTTAGGAGGACCTCACCGAGTCGCAGATCCTACTGGCCCTGATGAAAGGGTCGGCCCTCAGCCCTCCTCTCCGCATTTGCCACAAGCTGCCGGCGGGGATGGTGCATGCACGAAAGGAGAGTCAGGGGAAGATCACACAGCCCGATCTCTTTGTCCTGCACTGCATGCTGCACGAATGCCGGTGTAATCCTGGCTACTTTTTCCTGAGGGTGCTGAAGGACTTCGGGAGCCGCCCCGTTGGAGCCATCCTCATGGCTCCCCTCATCACCCCGCTGGCCGAGAGATGGGGATGCGCCAACGGGGAAGACATTCCCTCTATCCTCCAACCCGAGCCTATTAGCGGGTCCATGCTCGTCAGCATGGGCATGCTCATCAGGCAAGGGTCAAAGTTGACCCTCCACCCGGCGCTCGCCATGACCTTGGACATCCGGGATCTGGATAAGTCGGCAGAGATTCCCATGCCCTCGAAGTTTGAGCAGTAGCAACATCAGTAGTATGGGGATGACTTTCCTGGTGTCCA